ACACTCTGGTACTGGTATTGGGTATTTATATTGCGGTTATGAAGCGCAAGCCTGAATAATTCAGGAAAACCATGGTAGGCATATATATTGCCTAAATATACATTAAGCGTCTTATCCATTATTATTATTATAAAAAAAGAAATCAGAATGGGACGTGAATCATTTTTTTAGCTAGCAAATCCCTTACATTTTTGTGATAATAAATATTGCTTTTTGAATATTGGTAATATTCTCTAATTATAATGCATCAGATCACAAATCATGTCCTGATGGAACGTTTGGTGAGTTTTGTCAGTATACCTGCCATTGTGCAACGTCATCAATATGTAATAAAGATACGGGTAACTGTGCTGATGAATGTGCCGATGGATGGGGTGGTTACGACTGCCAGATAGGTAAGTCTGTTTATTAAGTCTTTGATGTAATACACAATTATATATCATATTACGATGTGAGTTTGCGTTTACAAAATATCATAGGAGTGATGTTTTGCCGTACCTGACATGTTACCGTACCGAATACTCAGTACGTCCCCAAATACTAGCGAAGTACTTCCACCTGAATCACTCGCATTTTTCCCTGTAGTATTTGGGGATGTACTGAGTATTTTGGGATGTACTGAGTATTCGGTAGGACAAAAACATCACTCCTACGATTATATAGGCCTATTATAATGAAATAATTTAATTTTGTCAGTAATTGTCACAATGTTGTGAACAGGATAAATCAGACTCTATAGAAGAAAGCAAACAACAATGTGTCCCAGGTTTTTTGCTTTTTATTAAGCAAATCAAACGGTTTTACAAGGTTTACCTGGCCTTAACAACGATAATAAATAAATAAATTGAGATTACAGGCATCGCACCAGCCAAAATGCTATCGCCAATTATTTAACCATTAATAAGCTATCCCAAATTAATTAACCATTAAATAAATTATCCTCAATTAGTGAACCATTAAAAAAATCCCCAATAACACCCTCCGTTTCCACAGTCTGCTTTACTTACCTTGTTCTGTTCTGTTTCCGATAAATATCCCAATTCTCTCTCTGTACCACCCTCGGTATCTCAATACAATTCCGGGATGATTACAAATTCGGTACTATTACAAATTCGGTACCGTTACAAATTCGGTATCGTTTCAACTCTCTGTATTGTTGCTATTGTGATTTTGTTCCACCCGAGCTCCAAACTGTTTACTTTTATTTACAGCTACAAGCTATTTTGATTTCGTTCCACCCGAGCTCCAAATACTGTTTCCTTTCACAGCTACAAGCTTCATTGGTTTCAAACGATTACAACTACTCTCGATACCTGTACAAGCTAAAATATAATAAATACAAAACCCCAATAATATCACTAATTATCATCATATAATTATTGTAACATTTAACAATCAAGTTTTGCCTATATCATACACATTAAACCTATCTCATTCACATTGTGCTATCAGAAATAAACCAATAAAAAACCGAAAGGTCCACTGATTAATCTCAGATAAGAAAGTATAATACATACTCCAAGTATTGAAATACACGCCATCGTGTTGGGATTCAATATTTCGACATTAATTATGTCATCATCAGGAATGATGACATAATTAATGATGATGACATAATTAATGTCGAAATATTGAATCCCAACACGATAGCGTATATTTCAATACTTGGAGTGTGTATTATACTCTCCTAAAAACAATCAACTTACCAGTGTCTGCATTACACTACCCTGTTCTGTCGTTTACAGTCTAATCGATGGAACAGTAAGTTCCATGATTTGTTTAACATGAATCTATTTTTACATGGTCAATTACTTTAAGACCATTCCCCAATACCTTTTCTGTCAGACTATCTAAATTGCATACTCTTAAATTATGCAAAAACTAAAACTATTCAAATTAGCATTGCTATGCATGAAAAAACACTTGGTTCCGAAAACAGAACCACTGTAACAATTAGTGTTTTTACTTGCTGTTTTTACTTGTTCAAAATTTTGGTGACATTATCTGTGATATATATATCATAACAATTTATAGATTAGACTGTTGCAATGCACGGTGAATGTTGGTGTTTTTAATACTCCTTTTTATTTACCAAAATTTTCATATTTTGTTTTATTCTTTAAATCAAATATATAATAGTACAATTCATTTTTTTTTTAAATGTGCACGTTTTTGTATAGCATTGCCAAATTTATCAACTCCGCCGAGATTATTACGTGTGACAGATGAGTTAATAACGATAAGCTGGAATGCTTGGAACAGTTATAGTGACTATGGTAGCGGACCTGTTGATAGATACATTGTGCAGTATAGAGAATACGTTGATTCTGGGACAATGTTTATATCAGCGGGAACAGTGGTAGGAGACAATAATCCACTTCAATATCATATCACAAATCTAAAAGCCAACACAGCTTATGAAGTCAGAATTGAAATTGTTAAACATGTAAGAGATGAGGGGAATTTTTCGACATTTAGTCAAACAATCATAGAAAAGACTATGAGTAAGTATTACTTTATTTATACCATTATAAGTGTTTTGCTTTAATGTCATTAATGTATAATAATAAATTTGGCCACTGAAAATAAATCTGTTATTGGCAGCCATTGACTAAATCTAATTGTCATATTACACGCCATGATTTTTATATTATATTGTTAGTACGTGTGACCGTTCTTTTTCTTAGATATATGTGTATATATATATAGATAGATAGATAGATAGATAGATAGATAGATAGATAGATAGACAGACAGACAGACAGACAGACAGACAGACAGACAGACAGACAGACAGATAGATAGATAATAAGACAGAAAATAATGATGCGGAAACGTTGAGTTAGACAGTAGAACACAATATAATTTATTCAGGAAACGAATATTTCGTCTTGTCCTCAAGACTTCATCAACGTAACTGATTACAAAAGTTGGCAAATACTAGATCAAATATAAAACAATAAGCAGTCGGCAATAAATAAAGGAGGGTGATTAAATGAGATAAACAATATTAGAGACATGGGGATAATGATATATGATGGGAGAGAGATAATGAGTAAAACGAAGTACTTAGATATCGAGTAGTGGAAGCGATAGCCCATGATACAGATAAATATAATGGCAATAAAAATCATAAGATAATATATAAGCCATACATAAATATGTATGTGATATAATGTAATATAAAATAATAATAATAATAATAATAATATTAATAATAATAATAATGATAAGCCATTAACAAAATAAACAAAAACAAAGTAAACTAGGTAAGCCTAGATACAAAAGTGATGCAGAAGTAATATGGAATATGACAATGTGTACATAAAATAATGATGCGGGAATACGGTGATATGAAAAGTCAAGTGTGTGTGTGAACGTGTAATCGCTCAGAATACACATGTCATGGTTAAGGCCTAAAATGTGAGTATTGAATTCGATAATGAGTTTGATCTCTGAGTGTCTTCTATGGTCAAGAGATGGAAAATTGTAAAACATAAAACAGCAAACGGCCACATAATGCAAAAGAATTTAAAATTAAAATTAAAACGGAACAGTAGAGAAAATCCGATCAGAATGACAAAATAAACTAAGCATCAACTGGAAGGAATCCCAATATCTGCAGACGGATCCGTTTCGGCCTTCCAGGCCTTATCAGTGCAGCTAGGGTACAGACCCAAACGAAACGTTCGACCAGCTTAGGTAGGGCCCAAAATAGTCCCACTTACAATTCTTTTCCTTTCATCTGAATCTAATATTAATTATTGGGTTCTCAATACTTTTTTAAAATATTAATTAGATCATCACAAAAGAACAACTCAACTCATTATATTTTACTACTTACCTTTCGTTTGTTTCTTTTCTTTTCATTTCATATTTTTTTCTTTTCTTTCTATTCTTCTCTTTTCCTTCCTTTTCTCTTTTTTCTCTCTCTTTCTTTGTTTTTTTTTTCTTATATTTCCTTATTCTTTTTTCACTGCTTTCCTTTTTTTTATTTTTCCTTTCGTTTTTTATCTATTCTTTTCATATACTTTTTTTGTCTTCTTTTCCATTTTTTCCTTTCTTTCATTTTATTTTTCTTTTCTTTTCTTTCATTTCTTTTATCTATTTCTTTTTCTTTCTTTTATCTTTTCATTTTCACATTTTTTTGTTTCTTTTCTTTCTTTTTTCTTTTTCTTGTTTTTTTTCTTTTTCTTCCTTCTTATCTTTTTATTTTCTATGCTTTTTTCTTTACCTTCTTTTACCTTATTATCTTCCTTTTCTTTTCATGTTCTTCCTTTTCTTTATTTTTACCTTCTCTTGCCTTACTTTTCTTTCTTATTTTGTTTTCTTTATTTCTTTCTTACCCCCCACCCTTTTCTTTACTTTACCAAGCACTTTGACAGTGCTGTATTCCTGTGCCAGCTACTAAAGTCTAACTTGGAGAAAGAAAAAGAAAATAAGCGATAACTAGACAACCGCAACTTTTAGAAAACAGTTTCTGATGAATTGATTTTTTGAGACTCCACTAGAAAATACTCTCAAGAATTGATGTGGTTTCTCTACACACTGTACATATTTTCGTCGAATGAAACGCAAACCTTTAACATGGGTGTGAGTTTTCACATCTTATAACATGAGCGATCAAGTTTACTTGTTGTTGACTGTAGTAGTCTTGTATTGATCTTTCATATATTATTTTGTTATGCCTTAGGTCCCTGGATTTTAATAGGCGGCCGCAGGCTAGATTTGCCCTTCGGAACTATACATTCTGGCCCACGAGAAGGAAATAAAATTATTTTTTATAAATTTTTAAAGAAATTAAAAGTAATACAGTAGAACTCCTATTAAGGAGACACCTTAAAAACTAAAAAAGTGTTAAATACTAACAAAAAACGTAAAACTGTCCCTTAATGCACATACAAATCATTCGTAATATGAAATCGTTGGAAATGTAATTAAAACAACAATAGTTCCCAATATTATTTTGTGATGCAATGTTAATAAACAAATATTCTTTTTCTTAAATAAGCTTGCTATTGGATGGAAGCAGCATGAATGGAGTAACAACTTAGAATTATGTAGTGTGCATGTTATGGTATCGATTCGAATCCTATATGAAAGTACACGAAAAACAACAAAAATGAAATCCCCATAGGGTAAAAATTGACAATATTGGCTTATATGTAGTAAAATAAGCAGTGGCTTATAATGATGATTACTCTAAGGATTCATGGGAGAAATTTGTGGTTTATTACTAAACAGGTCTCAAAATATAAAGTTCAATGAATTTTTCTTAATTTGAGACTCCTGTATTTGTTGTGATGCAAAGAAAAAAATTAAAGTGTTCCCTTAATATATATTGTAACTATTAACTCATATTAAAAATAGAAATTGGAAAATTGACTTGCATGTGACGAAAGCAAAAGAAACAAGCATACGATTGAACAACATAATATGATAAAAAGCCTATTATACTGTACAATAAAATCAGTGACAAATAATTATGCAAATTTTTGCTCAAAATGTAAAAATGTTAAAATATAATTTAGTGGAACACACCTAAAATATATAAAATGAATGTTAAAATTTTTAAATTGTGAAGTGTTTAAAAAAAAATTGGTTGAAAATTTATATTTAAAAAAGCATTGTATAATTTCTTTAAATAGTGAAAAATGAAGTGTCTATCTTCTTTTGGCAAATTATTAAGTAATTCTTACGGTTGCAATAATTATAATGTAGTAACCAAATATTGTACTGTAGTACAATTAAAAATAGAATAGAATTTGAAACTGCCATTAATCTTCAAATTGCACCATCATAGAAACTGACGAGGCTGCTCTCTGTGCTTTTTGACAGGTGATATGATTCCCATCCATGCTGTAGCAAGGGAATTGTGGAGAATTATTCGGAATGCTTTTTTTGTGTAGAGCTCGAACGCCTAGACTTTCAATTTTTTCTGAATATCCGGTTTGCCCAGTAGGGTTTGAAAGGCCCTCCCACAGAGAACACCTTGTTGGACTTCAAAGACATTGCGTAAAAATAGATATTATGGGAGCATGATTCTTTGCTCATTTGCACACTGTGGAGTCGGAGGCGCAAAAGTCGAGCGATCTCAATAAAAGCTCCATTATCTAGCGGTATTATGGGTCTCGAAAATTTTTTTTCTTTTAACATCGGTTTGCAGTTGCGATAAATGTATTATTTGTTATTTTTTGTTATTTATATAGTATATAGTGCCTATTTCATTAGGTTACAAAGCACTTTGTTGTCCCTGGTCATTAAGTCCACATGCCTAAGTGTTGCTGCCATATTGGCGCAGTAGCAGGCAACCCCACAAGGCACCCATTTATACTCCTGGGTGTAGAGAAGCAATGTAGATAAAGTGCCTTGCTCAAGGACACAAGCGAAATGCACAGCGAGGGATTGAAACCCCGACCTCGAGGTTGGAAAACTAAACCGTTCCCACTGTGCCAAACCACTTTCAAAACTGTTAACACATGTAAATTGCATAGGATTATCCAAAGGTATTCAAATTCCATAAAGAGACTTGGTTTATAAAGCATTATCCATCTTGTAATTGCCGAGTTACTTGCTGTTGCATGTGAATGAAATTTGAAAATAAATCTCATTATGCCTGACACACTTTATTTAATGTTATCATTTTATACAGTATTTGAATTATTATATTGTATTTGTATTGTTATAATATTATCATCTTCATTATGCATATTTTTGTATTTTTAACTATTATATTATACTTTGTGTTTATAAGATGAAATCCTGGATTTAACTATCTTCTTACCCAACCCAACTGTGAGTATAACTGACGACTCTGTAATGTCAACATTTGGAGGTTATACTGGGGGTGGAGATCAAACTCAAGAGATCTTACTTGGTAGAGAAACTGACACAGGTACTGGGCTCCAAGGAGATCCAGTAGAATGGAGTGATGATGATGATGATGATGACAGCGATGCAACAGCCGTCAGGCCCGGTACAATGTTTCCTACTGATTCAACAGTATGGGCACGTAATATTAGAGCATTTGATGCACTTCGTATTAACATTGCTGGGAATTCCAAGAAAGAGAAAGTTGGAGCTTTCTATGCCAATGCTTCAAAGCATTCAAAATCCCAACATATAGCATTCGTCATATTGTCTGAAAATAGTGAGTTGAATATAATTACAGTATTGACTGTTGGCCTAAACTGCTTCTGTTGAACATCCGAATATTGCCTGTTCAATTTTAACATTCGCAAATCTTCCCTTTATGGCAATTTGGCAAATGTTGAAACAGATACATAAAGCGATAAAAATAGATAAAACTTCATCCATCACAAGACATCTGCAACATTTGTCTTCAATACAGTATGTTTAGAAATCATTTATAATGTCTTAGAATTGTAATTCATCTAACCTTAATAGGTCTGTATCTAAAGATGACTTCACCACACTGCCCAAAAAATGTTCGTTTACAGCATCTTCCAACGTTAAACATTACAGTATATTAGTTGTTTATATATTATTCCATTCACATAAAAATTAGATAAGATCCTCCAATGTAAAAAAAATGCATATCAATCAATCATTCTTTATTTTCCATCATAAATAACATAATAACAAATATCTGGGTATTAATATAAATTACGACTGATCACCTCCATTAATACATTGTTTTTTATACAAGGATTGAATAAGGGGACTATAGGAAAAGAATTGTCTTTTTTTGCCGTAATTTTCTCTATTGTGAACTGATCACAAGAGAGATTGTTGATTGTTTTAAATATGCATAAGAACAAATGTGAGCTGTCATGACAAAATGAGTCTAGTGGTACGCCAGGTCAATTTGATATATTCAAGAAAATATGTCTGAAGAAATATTTTGACAAAAATTGGGTTTCTTCGGTTATTTCTAATAAGTTTAATGTGTATATTTCATAGTAGTAGCAAAAGTTCTAAGTTAAGTTACCTATAAAGGTATTATATTTTGAGGCACATTTTGTAAAGTCATTTTTCTGAATTGATAGGAAAACCAAGACAAAATGTATCAGTTGTTTATCTTTGAAGGCGATTTTTAGAATGATGTTACTCCAGTTTTACTCAACCTAGGAACATGATTTTGAAGACCAAAATAAAGCATAATAGTATTCTATCTAAATGTATCAATAACTCGTTTTTCATTTTTTGTGCCACAAGACACATTTTGCCACGACAGCTCACAAATAATAACATATTTTTCTGAGGATGACACAAAATGAATTAATATAAATATTAAATAATAAATATTATTGTAACCTTATTTTCACTTTCAGCCGAAATCACTCCTGACAGACGTTCTATATCCGCCAGTGTTGGGAATAATGTGACCTTAAGTGTAACCAGTGTCATAAAAGATATTTCTGGTTTTCTATGGAAATTAAATAACAATAGTATACCAGAAGGAAACGGTAAAGATTCGTTGACCATAAATAATGTCAGACCAAGTGATGCTGGAATCTATGAATGCTACACAGGAGAAAGAAACGGAAAACACGCAATCATGAGATTGATCGTTAGAGGTAGACATAGTTTTTAAAAGATAGATCTACTACCATCTCCAACCCGACCCCACACTATAAAGCAAATAACCTAGTGTTCAAAGATATATTTGTGTCACACGTTCACACTAATAAATATAGAGGCAAGTTTATATGCAATATATGCCACTTTTATTATACCAACATTTCTTTTCCCTTGCATTCAAACTCATCATATACACCATACAGTATAGTAAAATAATATCTGTATGTTAAAAATAACGATATGAACGGAACGATTAAGTTACGAAGAACTATATGGTTAACAATTGGTATATTGAATCAGTTTAATAGTAAATATAATATCTGAATGGTATAATAAAATGCCTATATAGAGTTGTAATAATTTTTTTAAGTAATAAAACCATCAGGCTTTATTTATGCATGAACAAAATAGTAACATAATATCATACACCTGTTTGGTGCCACCAGTGGCAGACGGTAGAGTATTGTTGAAGGGTATTCTAGGCAGTGGCGTATCTAAGGTGTGGGAGAGGAGCGCACCCCCACCCAAAAAACACTCACCCCCTCCCCCTCCCTTAGTCACCCCAAATCATGCTCATGTGGTTAAAAATCACCTTAAATTTTATTTATTTATTAATTTCTGTTCGTGTGATAACACTTTCAGTAACGTAGCACTAGTATTACTAGTGAATCACAAGTAAAAAGAATAAAAGAGAATTAAAATGAAAAAAGAAATGTCATTCCTGAATGTTGCAAGTTATTGCCCATCACCTATTCATCGATCTCCCACTTCACCTAGCCGGCATGATCAGCTCCCCTTCCATTTCAAGACCCTTAGATTCCCCACTGATGTGAGAGCCTGCTAATAGGAAAAGTTTGTAAGCCTATATTATATAATCAAAGATTGCGTTCTATAGTCAAAATATAAATGCATGTTCTTTTATATACCGGCATGGTTGTTAATAAATTTAAATTTAGATAATACAAGTTCCTTCTATACCGGGCATTATCAACGCTTCCATTACATTGTTAAATTGGCTATTCCAACACCACTACGCGGTTGGCACAATTGTATAGGGTACTGTATGCTCCCACTTCCACTCACTGAATACGCGATTGGCTGATATTTGATACTGGCCATGCAAAAATTCTAAGCAGCTGAGAGTACGATGCAATATAGGCTCATCGAGTGTTACTTATCCTAAATACCAAAGTAGGCCAAAAATTTAAATGAACTTTAGCAAATTACGGTTTGTATAGAAGTCTGTGGCTAAGAAATGCTAAATAAACGGAGAAACTGTAGAAGAATATTATAATTTTTTTTTTCTTTTTAGTTTCAGCCAGGGTATACAGTGCTTGCTTCCCTTGACGGTCCACTACTAGGTGCCATAAGGGTCGGAACACATTGTAAAAAGAAAGTAGAAGGATATAGGCCAACATATACAGGCTTATGCTAAACAACAACCTTAACTATAATATGTAAAATCGTCCGTCATTTACTACCACATACAATAAACAGGGTTCTATACTGTCTTTTCTATACTGTGTATGAAATAATTACATAGGTCAGCTATGAGAGGTATTGTGCATGCTTTACGCCTGTTTTTTTAAACTTTAAAATTGAAAGGTTGCCCTACAAGAATGTATGGATCAAACTGTGATTTAAAGTGTCCTGTTTGTTACAATGGAGGAATATGCGATGATGTGACTGGATTTTGTGTCTGTCCAGCAGGATTTCAAGGTGAAGACTGCTCAGCAGGTAAAATAAAAAAACATTAAAATGTGATTTGGCGGATATTTCTTGTTTATATGGGGGTTTTGATTTTTAATATGGTACCAAATTATTTATTTCATTAACAACTTGCTGAAGTATTAAAATCGGCAAGTAAATTTACTACCGGTACTAAAGCATGTTAGGAGCATCCTGTGTCATTTTAAATTGTACAAGTACTACTTAATAGTCTTTTAAGACCATTTAAAAATGGTCTAAAATTGCCAAAAAGCAAGCTTATCATGTAGCAATTCCTATGTATAAAACTCTATATCGTAATATACTTCTGGTGAATATTCATGATATTTTTTCACACCATGAATATAGTTTCGCCAAAATTCCCTTGTTAAAATTCATTTACAGAAAACAGAATTTTAAAAAAGTATTTCATATGTGGAATGCACTTTTTTGATAGTCAACTAAATGCAACTAACCTAAACAAATATAAGAAATCGATTTCAAAGTTGTAATTTTATGTTCAATTTTGATTTTTTTTCGTGCTTAAGTTATTTTCTGAATAATGGTTTTACTTTTAAATTTAACATTTTAACATTTACATGTCTGTATTTTATGTATGGCCCCAGGGAAGAACAACCTTGTTTGAGCTTTTCTGTGTTAAATTAGGTTATAATGTTATGTGTATTTCTTTTTTTGATAAAATTTAATGTTCCTTTTCTAAATCATCAATTATAGGTTGTGGAAATAATAACTGGGGGCGTACGTGCAGTATAGTTTGCTCTTCGAGTGGAAACTGTAAAGGGGTAATGTTCTGTCCTCCTGATCCCAGTGGATGTGCATGTCAAGCTGGTTTCAGTGGTGTTACTTGTGATAATGGTGCGTTGTAACAAATAATTAAAAATAAAACCAACTGTACCTTTAGCGATTTAATATACAAATGCATTTTATTCTATGATCAATGTATTGGTTTCTGGAATCCATCATAGCATACCCTATTCTGTACCCTCACCTAAGCCTACACCCCAGAGATTGTCCCATTAAGTTTTTTCATGTATAAGACTAGTATTGCATTTTTGCGCAATATGTTGGCATTGAGCCATAGCGACTGGATCGAAAGACCATGCCGCAGGCGACCTATCACACGAGTTGCGTATTTGCAGCTGCAAAAATGAAAACCATCATTGGTAATATTCAACGCTATGACGAGAGGGAGGTACGGAACTCATATCAGGAGCGGCTCGAGTAGTATTTCAAGGCTAATAGTATAGCCGTGGAAAAACAGTTTCAGTGCTCATCAGCTCACTAGGAAGAAGAACTTACAATTTCCTTAGAGATCTTGTCAGCCCGGAGAAGCTCGGTGATAAAGGATATACTGATTTAGTTCAGATTTTAAATGAACACTTCAGCCCGAAGCCGATCAAGATGGCAGGGCGTTTTCATTTCTACAAACGCGAACAGAAGCATGATGAAACGATTAAAGAATACTGCGCTACTCTAATGAAATTGACTGAACAATAGTATAATAAAATTCTGCATAGCCATATGAATACATGTTTACATTGTACCAATGTCGAAATTAGGGATTTCATTTTTTTTTTATTGAAAATACAAAAAACAAAATTTTAAAAATTATTTTAGTAAATGGATAAATATGGATAAATAATTAATGGATTATAAAATACTGTAAAACCTTGGAATTGAAGCCCAATAGGCTTAATATTAAAAAGAAGCCCATCTCAAAAAGAAGACCATGAGCTTCTTTTAAAGATAGCATAGTCATAGTATTTTTTTCAAAGTAGTACACTGTATATGAATTTCAAAATAAACAAAAAAACGCACTTGGTTTATAGAGTATTTAGGTGACTTAATGCAGGTTAATACACTCAATGATACAGATTGATGTTGCGTAACAACAGTTGCTCTATTTATTGTTTTATTTTATAGAAGTAATTATACCCAAAATTTCTAGGATTTTTTTTTGCAAGCTTTGGTTGGGCTTCTTTTTGAGGCTACATTTGCAAAGTAAGGAGGTGGGGGGAGGGGCTTCTTTTCAAAATGAATGCTGTAAATTTGAAAAATTCTACTTTAAAACAATAAAATAAGGGAACTGTAGCATCAATGTGTATTATGGAGGGTATTTACCGGCTTTAAATCACCTAAACTACTGGATAAACCAAGCATGTTTTTAATTTTTTTTTCTTTTTTTTTTTGCTTCTTTGAAATTCATTTAGGTCTACAGTTGATGTCAGAGTCTGTTGGCTCTCTGGATAGAGAATACGTAGTTTGTTATTCTGTTCTTGTTAATAAGTCTTAATAACTAATTAAATTCAATGGAATAACACTGTTGCCTTACCTACTGCCAGATCCAAGCTCAGAAGATTCAACAATGTTACACTATAAAAGAATACCATGCTTCTTTTCAAGATGGGCTTTTTTTGGGGTGGGCATCTGTGCGGGTCTTCGGTCTTCATTTTGTAGACACCCATATAGGGTGACCCTTGAAAATTTCACAGACGGCCAAAATTTTTTGTAATTTAGATTTTGTGAGAGCCTTATCTCACATGCTTCCAAAATAACTTTGAAAGTGCGTACTATGTAAGAGACTGGTGAGACAAGAGGATTAATAGGTAAAGACCAATTTCTATTTATGAAAGGGGCGAAGCACAAGAGATGCCATTGGATTAGTCAGAGTCATATGTGAAAGGTCACTTGAGTATGGTAAAGATGTCTACATTTGCTGGACAGGTTATGAAAAGGCGTTGGATAGTGTAAAATCAATCAAACTTACGGAAATTTTGTCAATGGTGGGAATTGATTGGATATATAGAAGAGCAATCTGGAACTTGTACAAATAACCAATCTGCATTAATCCTAGTGTAGAAGGTATTTTTACGGAACCAACTGATAAAGGAAGAGGTTAGACAAGGTGGAATCTTGACCACGATACTCGTTCACTTGTATGTAGGATACATGAGGAGGGAAGTAGAGGATGGAAATTTTGATGGAGTTATGGTGGGAGGGGAATGTGTATTCTGCCTTCTTGGAAGTCTTATAACAGATGATGATCGATGTGAGAAAAATGTAAGAAGAATTGGAATAGCAAAATCCAGTTTCAGAGAGAACAAACAAATTCTTACCAGCAATATTGATATCTATGATTATTGAAATACCTTGTGTAAGCCATTTCGGCCCTTAATGGAATAATAATATTATGTAAGATATTAAGTGTACTCACTATAAATATTTCATCCATCTCCCGTCTCCTGTTGTTGTGTATTGTTTGTCGTTAAGCTGCTAACCAGCTCCAAAATCCATTGCTTACACAAGATATTTCAATAACCATGTCGTATATGGCCCTAACAACAGTGAATAGGTTGATGCAACATATATCAATATTCATAGAGGGTAAGCATACAAATGAATCAACAATTGTTTATATTTTCTTTTAAACGATTTCAAAGAATGTGTTAACTGAATGTTACATGGTAAATTGTTCCATAAATATAGCTCATTGTATATAAAGGATGTTCTTCTCAATAAAGGGGTATTTCTTTCATAAACAACATTTTTGACAGTTGAAGACCTTGGGAAGAAGAAGCTCATTGTTGTTTAAACAAAATATTAACATGACTGTTTGAAGCTTGTTAAAATCAAAAGTGTTTAGAGTATTGAGAGTATAAAATAGATTTTTAGAATGAGAATAAAAATTTAATTTGGCAATTCTTCATTGCATTTCTTACCAGGATTAAAATAAGTTAGTTTACAGGAGCGCTTAGAGACCTTATTGGCATGAATCACTATACAAGTGTTAAATATATTATTATTATTATTATTATTATTATTATTATTATTATTATTATTATTACTGTTGTAGTTGTGCTATCAGAGGCCATCGCAAATTTTATCGCCTTTTCTATAGTAGGACACAGGCTGACCTAATTTCACTTTGTCAATAAAAAGCAAGTTTGACTGCAATCCTGTTGAATAATCAATAATTAATTGATTTTCTGTTTATCAATAAAGCTTGTACGGGAAATGATTATGGTGCAGACTGTAGTCAGAAATGTGAATGTGTAAATGGTTGCGACAACGCAAAGGGCTGTTTGAGTAATTCTACATGTAACAATGGATTCACTGGAGATACATGTCTTGGTAATTATCTAAATTTTTTATTTAATATTGCAAAAGTCTATACCAGATTGTGTCTATTAATCAGTGTTAATCAGCGGTATGGGTTTTATCTTGTGTTCTCGGCTATTTCTCAGTTTACCAACGCACCTGTGCTTGTCCTCTCATGGAGTTGGATTTTATTAATAATATTTATATACAATACAGTACTTCCTCCGAGTCCACCACTTTGCGATCCTGCCTAATGCAGTCCATCCATCACTTTCTTGGTCTCTCTGTAGGTATCTGGTTCTTTAAAGGGCCAACTTATTTTTACAGTTGATATAATCGGCCGTTGCAAGTAACTTTTGAGTGCAGTGGCCGAAGCCCTGTTGATGCAATGTTTTTTGAAGGTTTTGTTGGGCCATTTCAAATTCTATTTTCAATCATTTACTACAATTTTACTGAAATTATAAATTGATTTTTTTTTTTTTTTTTGCTTGCTGAATTGATGGATAGAAAGTCTAAAGAAGGCTTATTTCCAGTGGGGTCCTTTTTGATTGTTTAAAATACCCTAATACACTAAATATGCGGCGTCAAGTGAGGGAATAATTGATGTCACTGGCGGGTAGGAATATATGGGAGCGCAAGTGGGTGGGGGGAGGCGATGGCCGCTCAGAATCTCCTGAGGGGTCTAGTGGGCAAAGTCCCCAAAAGCTCTGACAATTTTAAAGTTTTATAAATGTTTATTTAGGCCCCTAATTAATCTTTACAGTCTGATACCAGAGTGGATCTTATAATATGTTATATTCAATTTGTACCTTAGACCACCAGTAATGACTATGCAAACATTGATGCTTGATTTAGCATGAATCCATGGTAGTGTAAAGTTGCATGAATATGATTAACTTTTAGGCAAGTGGCAACTTCTGATAAGTTCAGGGACAAGTGGTGGGGGTGGGGGAAATATGTTAATTTGTGTTGACAGGAGTAGGCCTGGTAGAGAAACCATAAGATAGAGTTAGTTGCATAGAATAAGTCTTCATGGAAGGGTGTTAGCTGTAGAGTATGATCCAGGCAGGGACATGCCAGCTAAGGTGCATCAAAATTAAACAAACAAGTTAATAGGCTTTTTGTTGAGCTCTCTCTGACTGGCGTCACCTGTCTTGAAGTATCCTAAAAAAATTTCGCCTGTTGCAAAATATGAGTTTGGTGGCGTGGTGAGTAGTAAAGTGATGCATAGTCGTCGAATAGTTTTATATAAGCAGGCTTTACATATTTACATTTACTAATTCAAGCATATTTTGATCCATTTTTTAAATATTTGAACATGTTTGTCTCTGGCAATGCCATGGTTCCAGGGAGTGGAGGGAAAAAAAACATTTATTGATATAGATGGAAAAGGAGTGCCGACTAATGTGTGTGATAAACTTATTTTAAATTTTGAATAATTTTATAAAGCATTGAAAGATTATTTTAAGGGCTGATTTTGATATTTATATTCATATACATTTATATATTTTGTGTGTCTGTTTTTTTGTTAGGAAATCCACTTGACAGTTGATTTAGTTCTCTTTTTGGATTTCCTGATTTAGTTCTCTTTTTGGATTTCCTGTCTCTCCGTCTTTTTTGTGTATGATATTTTATGTGAATTGTATTTTTTTAGACGAATAAATGAAATGAAATGAGTGTTTAAGCCGCATTTTCTCCCATTTTAAATAATATAAAATCTGTATCTTATTAACGTATAGTATGTTTCGTAAAATATTTTTTTTTTGTGTCTAAAAAAAAAAAGTTGTACAACATTAAACTTGTTTTCCTCTGGAGCCTAGCTTCAAAGCATAGAACACTTCGCCTGTAAGATCAAATTTGAATATAGGACTAGGTAAAGTGTCCAACAATCATCAATTTCAATCAAATTCCCCGCATTACCATAAATTTTAAAAGAAAAATTTCATTGAATTGCCTTTAAGCTTGGTGTTACTGATTAAAAACTAAAAAAAACTAACAATGCCTACTAAGTTTTTTTATTGTTTATTTTTGTGATTGTTTATTGTGATTATTGATACTTCTAATCCCTTATTAATAAATTGATGAATATAAAGGTAGGAAAATATTCACGTATCTATCGTTATTACATACGTTATGAAATTTGGATATCAACATTTCAGATCACGAATCATGTCCTGATGGAACGTTTGGTGAATTCTGTCAGTATACCTGTCATTGTGCAACATCATCATCATGTGATAAGAATACTGGTAACTGTAATGGTGACTGTGATGCTGGATGGGGTGGTAACGATTGCCAGATAGGTAGGTCTTTTTCATGTGATTGAATGATTTTTTTCAAAATTTGCATCTGAACAAAAACGATTATATAACATTCCGTTACTATTGCTAATTAACGGTATGCAGTGCTCAATAAGCTGTTGCAAGTAGTGTTACTTTTTAGTTGCGAGAAAAAAAAAATATTTCCAGAATTTCAAAATTGTATATGTTTTATCAATCCTCTAGCTTTACCACATAGGTACACGCCACCTAATATCGTTGATGTCGCAGCCATAAATATGACTATAGAATACGGTTGGAAATTTGGAGAAGATTATGGAACAGGGCCGGCTGCATCATACAGAGTCCTCTTTCGAAGTCACATAGAATTTCATTCAATCATTACAAAAGATAGTACACATATAATAACTGGGTTACCGCCAAATAGCACCATCGAGGTAAAGGTTCGTGTGTGCAGGAATATCGGTGGTTTAGAAGTCTGCGGACCCGATAGTCAGGCTGTGTCACAAGCAACTATCTGTTTAGGTGAGTTATGCTTCAGACCATCACTATGGATAATATTTTGACATACCCTAGTAGCGTATTAACCAAATGTCAAGGTTAGGGTCGAGCCAGCTCCACTAATCAACACCTCATATTTTTTTCAGGTTGTACAGTAGGAACAATATCCACGACCTAAATGTATTTTAGTGGATTGACAAACTTCTTGCTTTGGCGTTTTTACGACCACGACCTAAATGTATTTTATTTGCATGCAGTGGGTTCGTCCTCCATTCTCCATCTACCCCTTACTAACAAGTTAAGTGTAAGCACTTCAAGCAAAAACTTTTTTTGACATGGATCTTGAAACTGGGCTTCGCTTTGCTTTATTCCCAGTGAATGGTTTCTCTCGGGACAAACCATAACCACAATGGAGTAACGAAGAGGCCTGTGGCCCCTTGGTAAAGCTCCTTTGGGCCCTACTACCCTGGGGCTAGGTCCGGATAGAAAGCTCAGTGGGTTGGGCAAACTACTTGCTTTGGCGTTTTACGACCACAACCTAAATGTAATTTATTTGCATGCAGTGGGTGCATCCACCATTCTTCATTTACCCTTACTAACAATTAATTGAGCATAAAGCACTTCAAGCATAAACTTTTTTTTTTACATGGATCTTGAAAATGGACTTTGCTTTACCTTATTATTCCCAGTAAATGGTCCGTCTCGGGACAAACCATAACCACAGTGGAGTAACAAAGAGGCCTGTGCCCCCTGCTTAAATCTCCTTTGGGCCCTACTACCCTAGGGCTGTGTCCGGATAGAGAGCTCAGTGGGTTCGGCAAACTTCTTGCTTCGGCGTTTTTACATTTTATAGAACGTATTTTTTAATGTTCTGTGTCTTAAAAGGCCCGCTCGGGTAATGGACGCATGTGGCAATAGCCTGCTCCCTTAAGGTGTGGGGTCCCTGGTTTTAAGCTAAATTCACGTAGAATCCAAACCGAAATTCAGACCGCATTTCTGATGCCCCTATTTTACAGACTGATTTGATTTTGGTAAGCTTTCCGATCGGGAAAACCCCAATTCGGTGTGAGGCCTTTAGCCACTGAGAAATAGCTGTTACGTTACTGGCAGCAAAAGGTAGCCCCAAAAAAGGTGTCGATTGGCTTCGCACGTTCTCGTGCCTAAATAGAAATCTTCTTGCTCTGGGCTTATTGCTTATTGCTCATTAACTTTTATTCTTAAAACAGAAAGCGGAAATGTATCAATATTTTGAACATCAAATCTAGTTATTTAAGGGCTAATATAATTATAAATTTTTGCGGAAATGTATCAGTATTTGAACATATAATTTAAAGGTGAAAATAATTATAAACATTCAATGTAGTATGTCAATTATAAAATTACTAGTTTCGAACGCTTCATGAATAATTTTATATAGTAAAATTTCTGAGCATTATTTAGGAATACAGATGAAATAAAGATGAAAAACTGTTTAGGAATTGAAGGTACAGATATATAATAAGTAAGTGTTGTTTATCTCACAGAACCATTGAACTCACCAACTATTACAATCCAACATATAAATTCATCTACATTAACAGTCAATTGGCAGGTATGTAGTTTGTATAATTTTTATCTTATCAACAGTCTCGGTAACAAAATTTCGCAAAGGTGCTAAAATATATGCCTTCGTCATCATCGGTATTCTACTTATTTCAGCATGTCCTTTTCTATTCCACCATACATTGCAACCTTGTGCCTTTAGCAATACATTGCAACCTGTTCATCAACGGATCATTTTCAAGATTCTTTTGATTACATATAAGTCCAAGCATAACAACGCACCACATTACATCACATGCTTAATACAAGATCACTCCACCAAGCGAACATTACGTTCTAGCACTAAAGGGCTTCTTCATACACCTAAAGTATTCACAGAGTCATATGGCAATTGTGCCTTTTCATTTGCTTCTCCAACCAACTGGAATAACATCCCATTACACATCAAACATGCAACTTCCATCATTGCATTTAGATCTCTTCTTAAAAGCCATTTTTTTATCTGACTTATGTTATGGTTGATAAAATAGCCCCGAAACTGCTAAATACCGGGATGATGTCCGGCGGGGTATAGTTTAACCAATTGTAGTTAAAAATCTTAAAGTTCTAGCTTAAAATAGTTAGGGACGTCCTGGGTACGACATTAAACTCCATCCGGTCACAGCGTTGGCGACTAAACTGACAACCCTCTCATTCTTAGTGGCTGCTGAGGGGAGGGTGTTTATGGTCACCCAGCAGCAAGAAAAACCAATAGCTGAACAAAGAGCGGATGAGCTCCTCGGAGTCAACGGCCAACCATTAATTAGTTTAAGGAATAGGAGTAGTTTAGTCTCATTGTTATTATGATTATTATTTTTTATTTTATTTTATTGTTTTTATTTTATTGTTATTAATTTATTGTTCTTTTGAATTTTCTCAGTTGGCCTATATAATTTCTTTGTAAAGCACATAGGGGCAATGTGAGATATGCGCTATATAAATATAACATTATTATTATTATTATTAAACCAGTGTAGCTGTTTTTTAGATATTTTGTATACAAAAAACACACAGGACCTCAACAATTTAAATGACCCTCAAGTTCACCCCCTAATTTGGATAGTGACCAGCGCTTGATCATTTATTCTTTGTAACTTGTTTAAACTTTCACGAAAGTTTCATTTATGTCAGTTGAATAGTTTTGAGATATTAGACATATTCCTTTATTGGTGCTCACATCCACACCCTACTCCGGACAGCCACTAAAATTTAATCACCTTGTCCTTGGGTCATACCTAACAATCCCTGTAACTGGAATTTACATATGTGCAGCCGTTTTTGAGATATTTTGTACACAAGAAAAAAAATTGAAACAGCAAAGTGTTACACACACAAACACAGACATCATAAAACGAAAACATATATCTATAATAATAATAATTGTTGATTTTTTTTTATTTTGATGAAGTTTCTTAATAATTTAAATGTACATATATCGTTTGCGTTAATAAAGTAAATTAAAGGTATCGAATAAATGAAATTGAAATTGTGAGACACGGGTCATGCTGCGTCGTGCCCGACACCATAAGTAGTACCAAAAATGTATCTTCCCTTTAATATTTTGCGCACCATCCTTTAAATTTTGTGGACAACATTTTCTGAAATTCCGCCACTTTTTTTTTAAATGCTGGCGAGAAGGGGACACGGACGGGCGGACACACGCACGCACACACATTACATACATACATTACATACACACATACATACATACATTACATACACATATATATATACATATATATATATATATATATATATATATATATATATAAAATAAATATAGAGTTGCTGCATAGACAGATTTGTATATATAAAATAAGAAGTCAAACAAAGTTCTGTATCCGTCTCAAAAATAAAATATTTATTGTACTAGTACTTTCGACCATAGGTCATCATCAGGTACTGATAGGATAGTGGAATGAACAGGGTTATATAGAGAACATATACAAAAGAACCGGTGGCATCGGTAAAGCCTAAACGGTAATGACGAGGACTTTAAATCAAAAACCCAAGAAATGGCTGAATTCTTCAATCAATGCGGATATCCCACTGACATCATTAGTAAATCATTGGAGAAAGTGCATACTGTTACTCATGAGGAAGCATTG